TACTACTGAAATGTGAAGTGTATAAATTTATTTTGGCTGACAAATCATTACAGAGTTTATAAATAATGTTTTCTTTGGAAAGATGGAGAATTCTGTAATATAATATATAAATAATAATATTTTTTTACTTTAAGAAAAAAGACATGTAGGTCATTGCCAGCTTCATATAAAATAGAAGAAAGAGTAGTTTTCATTCCATCTATGGAGTTTGACTTGGCCTATTTGACTGAGTCCAACTATATAAAAGATATCTTCTTATCCTATGTTGTTGATCAACATCCAATATATCAATGTACTCCTACGTATACTTGGTGGTATAAACCTTGTATCACAGACTATAACATGTGAAAGATTCCATGGACTCTTTGGGGTCAAGAAATAATTTTCTATATAGTGCAATGCTCTTCATCATCCACAGTATATATAAGAAGAAAAAATGAACACTGCACTTGTGTAGTGTAGCATTCTCATCCACATAAAAAAGTCATACACATTTGAAGGAGAAGTTGGATAACCCTTATCGTCCAGCTTAAGTTGCTGCCATGAATCATAGTGACGAGCACTGTCAACTTTATTGTAAGAGTTTGAGGGAATCAAATCATGCTTTACATGCCACTGCAGTCAATAGCGTTGCTTTGGAAGGTAGCCAACTTTGAAGTACTTTTACACACCCCCACGGAAGAACATTTGATCATATCAAATTCCTAGTTCGCATTGTAATAAAATTTACCCTCTACAATCTTCGACGATCCATCAAATCCCGTGTTGTTTCGAGCAAAGATCATTCTTGTACATGTGATGAAAGAATCAGGAGATAAGAACGGTTGGGAATATTTTGATCTTTCCTATGGTTAATGAAAGAATCAGGCACAAAATTTTTATTTTTATATAAAAACTTAACAGATGAATATCCACACGACGACAACGATGGATGCTAAGATATATCATTTCAATGTAAATCAAGATAAAAAATAATATCTCAATATTTTTTTACTAAAGAAATATTTTTTCGACTATAAAAAAATCTCTTTAGTTTTTCTTTCTCTTTTCTCCTTATCTCTTATTTTATATTTAGAGAATAAGATGACTTGGGTATCGGATAAGTCTTTAAGTGAACTTAGTAATAGTTTTAATGTGGGCATAATGATCTAGCTCATTCTCGATGATTTATAGAATCGATTCTCCTTCTCTTCTTAAAATTTGTGTTAACGGTGGTTCCAATAATATATTAAGTTGTAGGACCGAGTTCCAGTCTAAGTTGTTTTTTAAATTTGGATTGATAATCAAATTTGAGACTAATAGTGATAAAATTTATTTAGGAGATAAATTTGTATGTATCACTCGGATGCATATAATTATTCGCATACTAACAAATAAAAGATTATCAATGTAATGACATAAATTTATTCAATAAAATTGATCCTACTTAAGCTTTGTCAAATCTATAAATGTGGCTCAAATTAACCAAAATGTGGTCAACCTCTACTTAAACTAGAGATCTTGACTCCAAGATTGATGTCTTTATCGTTAGCAAAGACACAATCTATCTACAGCTGTGCTAATAAAGCCACACTGAAAGTTGCAATCAATGTACTGTGCTAATAAGAAATCTTTTTCAAGTGATCACATCTTTATGAAAGATACATTTCTAGTGGTAGACAAATGTTACATGAATGTCCAATCCAAGGAGTTTTCAACTCCTTATTTCTGGTGGCACTAATTCATTGGAATACCTTCCTACTATTACTGTTGTGATCTATACTTCTAGGTTTTGGAGGAGATGAAATAGATAGGTTATGCATTACTATTGTTATTATCATCATCATTATTATGATTATTATTATCATCATTATTATGATTATTATTATCATCATTATTATGATTATTATTATTATCATCATCATCATTATTATTTTATTATTATTATTATTATTATTATTATTATTATTATTAGTGCTCTCATAATGACTAGAAACCCTCAAACACAATTATTTTGTGTTTAAGTTTTTTTCTCAGATTTGTTGGTTAATTTCTTTTGTCATATAGAGTGGTCAAAGTGCATGAGCCTTCAATGGTATTGATAGGGATTCTTGAACCAAGGAGAGGAGAACTTGGAAACCTTTCTTCTGGAGTTGCTTCTAACAACAATTATAAGGAGACAACGATACAAAAATACTAGTATAAGGTTGTGGAAAGAGTCTTCAACAGTAATTTTTTGATTAATCATGATGCATTATCGATGATGTTACCTCAAATTTAATGATGCAAAGCTACATTTTGTCTTCAAATTATGATAAAATCAAAACTACCATTGGCAATAATTATATCTGTAGCTAAATATTTTTATTATTATTTTTATACATAGATGGATGTCTATAAACATTTATTAAGTATCTTTTAACATTTAATTTAGCAATGAATATAAACATTCAAATGTCTTATATGGCATTGTAGCATATGCAAACTATGGAAAGAAGCATTGTTTGTATCAAATAACAAATTTGTTTTGACCAAGCTTAACTAGGTCAAAGGTGTGTTTTGACTTCTACCAGATAGATTGAAGATACTGTGGGATCATATAAATTTGATTTAGGTTATGGATATAATGCAATCATATAAATTGTGCTGTGGTCTAGTATGATCCAGAGGTAGGTCTAATGCAATATTGCATTCCCTCTATTTTTTTTTTTAACAATGCCAAAATTATTTTTTTTAAGAAGCCACACAACTTAAAAAAAAGAGAAAAATGCAATAATTTAAACATTCTCACACTTCTTCATGTTTTATTTAATTTTACTGGTAACGATGATGATTATATCAGATAAAACCAATTGATAAAGTTAAGATCTAATAGTGACACAGGATTAACTTCGATCGTGGAAAAATAAATCAATTGAAGTAGGAAGAATCATATTTTGGGCGGGAGTAGAACATGTCAAAAGATTAGACGTCGGGCCGGAGGACCAGTCGACATGTCGGAAGGACTTCGTTCAATGAGTTCGGGCATTGGGCCAAAAGGATTAGACATTGCGCTAAGGAAATCAGATGTTATGGGAAGTCAACATGCCGATGATCGAGCGATACGCCGAAGGAGAATGCGATTCGCGAAAGGATCGGATGAAGTGCTGGATGAACCAATGATATGCCAAACAATATAGGATTCATGCTTGTAATAATTTGTGTCTCGATCGAAGTAGTCTAGGTCTAATCAAGTTAGTTTTGGGTATAATCAGACTAACTTAATTAGGGGTCCATTGAGCCTGATTTGGAGTTAAGTTGGGCCTATTGGGAAGCATATCCAATGACCCATAAATGGGTTAGGCAGTGGTACCGTCCAGACATAGTCTCCCAGATTATGTCAAGCGGTAGTATCGCTAATGTCAAGCGGTGGTATCACCCAGACACAATCTCCCAAATTAAGTCAGGTGGTAGTATTGTCAGACTAGGCAGTGGTAAATCCTAGTGTCAATCTGGCCAGTGGTAATACCGACCAGAGTAGGCGGTAGTACTGCTAGTTGTCAAGGGTGCAGGCGGTGGAACCGCCAGAACCTCGAAAACCCTAAGATAAGATCTTTTTTTGTTATATTTTTTAAGTCATTTGGGCATATAAATACCTTACTATTTCTTGCTTATTAAAGTATAAAAAGAGAACAAAAAACCTAGTGATTCTGAGTTGTAAAATTATGTAAAGTGCTAATTGTTCATTTTTTTCTTAAAGTTTTAAGCTTATTCTAAGAGAGATATGTGACTTGTAAATATTGTCTTCTAAACCTATGAAAAAGAAAAAATAGTTGTAAGAGGGTAGTTGGTCTATGTCCATTGAAAGAAGATCATTAGTGAAAGCCGATGGCCTCGACGAAAAAGGAATCGAGAGAAGACGTAAGTCGCGATGACTGAACTACTATAAACTCAGCTTATAATTTATATTCTGCTTTTTATTGCTATTACTTTTTGAGTTAATTACTTAGTTCACTTAATCTAAGTCAAGCACATTTCTGATACGATGTTTCATCGAACAAAATTTTAAAACATATCAAAGTTTTACGAAAGCACTAATTCACCCCTCCTCTTAGTGCCAAAACAATCCTAATATATTGCACTAAGAGAATTAATAGTATGTCATCTTTTATTGCATCGACCACAAAATATAGCAACACTTTTTTTTTTAAATATGAAAAATATTATTTTTGTTATCATTTATCCCTCATAACATCGCCATTTCCTTGATTTCAAATCCTTTAAGATTTTCCTATACTTCCTAATAGGCTTATTAACTTAATTTTTTTCTCTTCTTATAAAAAACTTTCCTATACAACTATTTTCAACATAAACATATCCTTTTCATTAAAAAAATATAAATTATTCTTTTCGAAAACAAGCATCGTTTCTTTTTATCATCTCCTTAATAATAATATTTTTTATATAACGATTTAGTTTCATATTGAAAGCAAACAAAAATTTGAATCGACCTATAAGAGTATGATAATTGTATAATTATCAATTTAAATTTAAACAGACACACGAAAAGCTAGAGTCACCATTGGATTAGCCCAATATTCTCTTAATTTTATCCAACTACCTAATAAGCTCGTTGGCCTAAAACAATACTCGAATGATGAACTATGTATATATACATACATGTCTTAAAAAGTATAATTTAAGATGGTGACCTAATTAACACTAGATTAGTTTGACCTTCTTAACATTACCAAAGGATACGAGGGATGAAGGAGAAGAAAATAAAAACGCGCATCTACCTCGAAGAGGTAGGTTTTAAAGCCATTGCAAGCCCAAGTAGGTGGTCAGGTCAATCTTGTAAATTCAACCCCTATCATAATATCCATGCCAATTCGAAATCACTGATGTGATGGAAGGGCGAAGTCGATCACCGCCGCTACGTCAATCCCCGCTTCCCATCCGACGGTGGACGCGTGAGCCACGTCTGCTATACTCACCTCCTCCCTATGCATGCATGAATCGTGTACATAACACAAATAAGATTTCGGACAGCGCAAAGAAAGGGAGAGAGAGACAGAGGAAGTCCGCCGTAGCGCACACAGCCCGTCCTCCTCCTCCTCCTCTTCCCCCCATCCCCATCCTCTCTTCCCCTCTTTGGCGTTGCTCCGACAATCCGATCTTTCCTCCCCCTTCCCGATTCCCGAGGAAACCCTAACCGCTTATCAACCGCCGCCACCGCCACCGCCACCGCGCCGTCGCCGTCGTTGGAGATCCCAGCTCGATCGGGCACGAGGGACTAGGGTTCGATCGTAAGGACGTCGATCTTTCTGGTTCCGGTCCCCGATCGTGTTTCCGTCGCCGCATTTCGGGTCGATCTTCGGGTTTCTTTGAAAATCTTTTGAATTTTTCTGATGCGTTTTTGTCATCCGATGGTGGTCTCCGATCGTGGTCTTGGGCTGGGTGATCGGGCGTGCGTCGGTTGGAGTTGGTCTGCTTCAGAAAGATTCCGTTTTGCTCTTGTTTTTATCGGATGTGTCGACGGTTGATGGTTGATTGAAGATAAGGTGGACAACCGATCGTTTTCCTTTTATCTCGTTGTTCTTTTGATTCATCTATTCATGCCTGATATAGGAGCAAGATCGGATTTTTTATTGGGTATTGGGAAGGGAAGATATCGATAACCGATTTAAACATGGATAGATGGCCTGATTACTTTTGATGGATGATGTTTTAGGGAAAAGGTAGATTTTTTCGCTTCAAAATACTCGCATCGGACAATAGATATACCTCTGCGGTTTGGCTGCGTTCGATTCCTTTCAAAAGGCTATGGTGCTGGAAAATTAGGCCTCCTTTATAGTTATTGCTGAGAAAATCTTCAATATGATTCTGATATATATTCTGATGATTTGTTCATCAAGAAGACGATTCACTGTGATCATCCTATTGCAGCCAAGAGACAAATTTGTTCTTATTACCACTTGTGCATCATGTTTCTCCGGTCGACATGGTGTTATCTGATTCTAGAGAGCTGGGTTATTGGCCTATACTCAGAATTGTGGTTTTTACTTATTTCCCTTTGCTGGAGATTGCTTGCTGTATTTTCTTTGACTTGCATTTCTGACCTGAATTGGATCGTTTTCATTCTTGTTAGTTCAAGTTTCTTGTGCAATCTAACATGTTCCTTTTCTTTCCATGCCATTGCCCTTCGGATGAGAAGACCGAAGAGGAATTCCTGGAACTTAATGTGGGCGTGACGTGCATGGGGAGAGGATGCCAGAGTTGCGCAGTGGAGCACGGCAAGGTCGTCTGAGATCAAAGAAACTCGAAGATATTCCAGTGCCACCTCAACCCTTTGGTCAAGCAGAAAATCCCATATTGCCTGCACCAAACAGAAGGCGTGGTGGTGCAGGGAGAGGGAGAGGCTCAAAGGCCGCAGCAGTAGCTAAAGGTCCTTCAGTAGCACCAGCTAGGCCGACATTTGGTGGTAGAGGAAGAGGCATTGCTCTGATTGACTTGGACCCCGATCAACCTTGCGAGATACTTCCCAGAGCTGCTGCAGGTGGAGCTGTTGCTGGTGGTGCCCAAGACTTCATTCTGAACCAAGCAGCTGAGGGAGTTGCTGTCAAGGCAATGGATGGTGCAAGTGCTGAAAAGGTTTTGGGAGCTGAGGATGAATCTACTACAGCTCCTGTCCCTGAGCGGGTATCAAGACTTGCCCCCCAGTAAATGATTATTTAAAATTTTTTAATTTACCCACGTGTATTTCTGCATATCATGTATTCATGGAAATAGGATGTTATAAAATAGTTTATTGTGTTTATTCATATTTAAATGGAAAATCACCAGTTTCTGAATCAAGTTGATTTACTTGCTGAATTTTGAACTTAGACTTTGCTCTTTAAAATTATGGTCAACACTAGTATTAGGAAGTTAAGATTATATAAAGAAGATTATATGAAGCTATCTTGGTTAGGAAGATCTCCTGTATAACCTTGATTAAGTACCTTTTGAATTTGTTTGTTAGTCTTCACTATATTAGTGAAAAATGCCATGAGAATGGAATTCTCCTTTAGATATACCTGTTGTGTGAATCAATGCTGTCTACTTGGTATGATATGATGATATCTAGGTACTGCATTTTAGTAGTTAAAATTGACACATCATTATTATTCTTGATTAAGTTGTCCATTTAGTAAAAGTATGAGGCCATACTCTGAGTCAACAATTATGTCATTGTCAGAACTTTAGGATGAATTTTGACATTATTCATTGTGTAACTTGCCAATATTTTATTTTTGGAATTAGGTAGACCTGCTCTATAGATATGAATGCATTATGTTAATTTTGAGGTTAGTAATCATTGTTTAGATTTTTTATGTCTTTGCTACTATATTGGAATATAACTCCAATACACTGGCTTAGATGGAATTTTATCATCCTTACACAAACATCTATCTTCTTTTCTGGCTGCTCTTTTCATGTAATATACTCTAATCTTTCTGGTTAGTGCTCCATGCTCAATATTGTCATGTCTGGGCTTATTTTGCATCTCTTGTACAGGTTCAAGTAGGTAACTCGCCTGTATATAAGATAGAGAGGAAATTGGGAAAAGGTGGTTTTGGTCAGGTCTATGTTGGCCGAAGACTATCGGGTGGAAGCGAGCGAACAGGTCCAGATGCTTTTGAGGTGAATTCGATAACTTTCTTAATTTTTCATGCTTGGAATAAGATTAACAGGTACATAATGGGTATTAATGCTTGCTTATTTTAGGTGGCTCTTAAATTTGAACATCGAAATAGCAAGGGTTGCAACTATGGCCCACCATATGAGTGGCAAGTTTACAAGTAAGCAACTTTTTTTCTATGAAATGCATGTACGAAACATATCTTGGCATTGCTAGTCATTAATCTAATCTTTTGGTTCTGGTCACAAGCACTCTTAATGGATGTTATGGAATTCCATGGGTTCACTACAAGGGCCGTCAGGGAGATTACTACATTCTGGTGAGTGAGATAATTTTCATGTACATTTAGCTGAATTGCCCCCAAGCTTATGATAACCACTTAGAAAAATGAAAACTTTTAGGTTATGGATATGCTTGGTCCTAGTCTTTGGGATGTGTGGAATTCTGTTGGCCAAACGTAAGAAACATGCTATTCTTCTATCATTTACTCTGTAATATTTTTTCTTTGCCATTCTGTGACTAGTGTGTCTATCAGGATGCCTCCAAATATGGCTGCATGTATTGCTGTAGAGGCTGTATCGATTCTCGAGAAGCTTCATGCGAAAGGGTATTTTAGTTGATGCATTTCTGGTTATCTCTTATGGGATTATGTTCTGATTTCCATTTACTTTGGCTGATCAACTTTGTGTTAAAATTTACATGCTTTCATGGTTAGGTTTGTGCATGGTGATGTTAAGCCAGAAAACTTTTTACTGGGACAGCCTGGAACTGCTGATGAGAAGAAACTTTTCCTTATTGATCTTGGTTTGGGTATGCTTCTACTGACCATTTGTCTTTTGCCCAGTTATGTTGGAGGCTTACTTTTTAGGAGGGGGTATCTTCTTCTAGGCAGCTCAATTGCTTGCCTATTATATTGCTGTTATGGATAGATACATTTGATGGATTCATTAATGAGTCTTTTTGGTGCAGCCTCTAAATGGAAAGAAGCGTCATCTGGCCAACATGTTGAATATGATCAAAGACCAGATATATTTAGGTGTGTACACATGTAGATCTATATCTAGCTACGGTATCCATTGTATTAAGCAATCTTCTTTTTCAGGGGAACAATTAGATATGCAAGTGTACATGCTCATCTAGGTCGCACTGGTAGTCGGAGGGATGATCTGGAATCATTAGCCTACACTTTGATATTCCTCATTAGAGGAAGGTTACCCTGGCAAGGTTATCAGGTATTTTATTATTTTCACATACTCATAAAATGATTTCTGTTATTTTATTAACAGTGTTGACTTTAATGCAGGGAGATAACAAGAGTTTTCTTGTTTGTAAGAAGAAAATGGCTACTTCCCCTGATATATTATGCTGTTACTGTCCTCCTCCATTCAAACAATTTCTCGAGATTGTGACAAATATGAAATTTGATGAAGAACCAAATTATTCCAAGCTTATTTCTCTTTTTGACAGTTTGATTGAACCATGCACTTCTCTGAGACCTATCAGGATTGATGGGGCTCTAAAGGTTGCTAGAGTTATCCATATTAGAGTTTTCCACATTACATGAACTGTTATCTTTTGATATGATTCCTTTTTTGAGTCTATGACTTTATTAATCGTTAAGGTATCTAGGTGGGGCAGAAACGTGGTAGATTGCTTGTAAACCTTGAAGAGGACGAGCAGCCCAAGAAGAAAGTTCGATTGGGAAGCCCAGCAACTCAGTGGATTTCAGTTTATAATGCTAGGAGACCCATGAAACAGAGGTATGAAAAACAATTTCAAGTAGTTTTGTTCTTATACTATTCCTTATACCCTGTTATCAGTTCATGGTGTGCCTTTAAATGTTATTTCTTTAGTTGGATGATGCTTTTGTAGGTGGAATTGTTTCCCAATGCACTTTCTTCAGAACAAAAACAAACAAGTGCTGATATTCCAACAAAGTTCACTTTCTATAATGAGTTAAAGCAATAACCAATTTTTCATATTTAATGCACTCATGATCTATTCTCTTCATGCTCAAGGGTGAGCAGTAACAAGAGTTATGAACCAACAAAAAGCAACAAGAGTTATGAACCAACAAAAAGCAATGTCCAATTATTTCTGTTCCTGCACTATCATTTTAAGTTCTACTTTGCTACTAACTCTTAGAGTTGGTAGTCTCCTAATTAATTTGACTATGACTTGGTAATATTTCAGAATGGATAGAAATGGCCTATCTCTTGTTCCTGCATCAGCATTTGAAGTTTTTACTTTTACTACAAATCCAGAGTATCAATCCTCTGAATTGGTAACGCCTCAGATAAAAGACCAATTCCCTTGAACATGTCAATGGACACATGAGAACTTTGAGTTTTAAGTAGAGTATCATATGTTTTTTGCATTTCAGCAAGTTGTTGAAGCCATGCTTTAGAATCCAACCTGGGCAATGGCCCCTTGGACTTAGTCTCAGGTTACAATTCATCCTGTGGTTGGTATGGGAATATTAAAATAAAGGGAGACGGTGTTGTGTTTGAAATAGAGTGGGAGTGAGAAGGTGAGAAAGAGATGGATAGAAGTGTATGTTGCACACGCAGGATTGATGACTCTCATTTCTGTCTGATGCTGTAATATGGCTTTATTAAGATTTGTGTAGGATTCCAGATATTACTGAAAAACTGGGTGCCTGCAAACTGACCAGTTGAAGCAGTTGATCTGCCATTTTTGAAGGAAATTTTAAGGTCTAAGGTTCACCGAATGATAAAAGCTGATGGATGAGCGGGACAACTGTGTCCCAACCAGTTAGAAAAACACTGGTCTCAAGCATGTCAAACACTCTGTTACTTATTATGTTTATTAATTGTTATCTGTTACACACACAGTTTCTATATCTTGGTGCAAGGAAAATTAATCTCACTGAGAAATAAACCCATCCCACCACGTGACAATAGGATTGGGCATGAGCCTTATGATCCTTACCTGGCATACTGCTGTATCAACAGCAGAAAACTACAATTAAGTTACTTCTATTGGACTAGCACAGCAGAAAACTAGATTTAACTAGATCAGTGGAAGCCTGGTTTCTCTACGCTGGATGTTGGACCTGTTGTACCTTATCCAACCATCCGTTACAGGGAACTACCACTACACATGTTTCTATATCTTGTACATCCAAATTAACGGTATAATTATGCATTTCAGTCAGCAATTTTTATGGGCCTTTTCTCAGATATCACTACAATGTAGCGGATATAAGACTTCAACAACATATAGAAAAGGGAATGGAAGATGGTTTATATATCAGTTGTGTGGCATCTTCAGCAAATCTCTGGGCCCTGATTATGGATGCAGGAACAGGATTCTGTTCCCAGGTTTATGAATTATCACCAATCTTCTTGCATAAGGTATTTAATATGCAAATATGCAACTACTTATTTTGTCTGAGTTGTTAATTCCTAGGTTTGATCACTGGCAGCTCTATTCTGTCTGTATTCTGTTATGTCCTTTTCATAGGATTGGATTATGGAGCAGTGGGAGAAAAATTACTACATTAGCGCAATAGCTGGTACAACAAATGGGAGTTCATTAGTTGTAATGTCTAAAGGTTTGTGAACAATGTTATCATGCAAAAGCATAATTTAGATTACAAATTTATTATTATCCTACAAACGCCTACTCTGAATGCATCTTTATTTTTTGCAAAAATATTTTTAGTTTTCCTTTTCAAGACTGATGCTTAATGAAATTATCTTCATTGCAGTTTATTCTAGTTGTGATAATCCCAATGAATATTTGTCATAGAGTAGCAATTTTGTCTATATTGTGATTTGCTTTTATTAATCCGGTTCAACCAATTTGACATGGTTGACTAGAAAATTAAAATGAATAATCTGTTATTTATTTTGCCCTTCTGCTTGAAGGATTTTCAGTGGAATGTGATTTGTTGGATGAGCCATGGGTCTTTTTTTTGTGATGCTTTATCTGCCATATCACTTTCTTTCAATGTTGTAAACTTTTAGGCCTGCATGCTTGCTTAATCATGTTAGATTCTCAACTAGTCTTAGATCAAATTGCTTCTTGCTGTCTTGGGAGGCAATCTTTCAAATTTGTCAGCTACATGGTTCGACTGATTTTTAAGAACACTTCTTAAGTAATTGAAGTAATTTTACACAAGTAGGGATAGCAAATTAAAGTTTTTTATGTGGCTCCACATTCTAAAAAAGAAATGGGAAAGCACATTGGAGAGAGAAACTAACTTATGGTTTCTCTTTGGATAGTAAATTGTTTTCCTTTGTGTGACATATATTTTTGGCTGGAATATGTCCATCAGGGAGAGGTTGCTGTGGAGTCTATGCATATCACAAGGAATTTGGCACAATATGAACCGTGTATGCATATTGATATAACCCTTCAAATTCACTATCTGATTTGGTCAACGCCACCCATAGATTGAGCTGATCCTAAATTCTATGACAGATCCCACTCTAGTGAACCTTGCTTCTGTGATCCAAATCACTTTGGGCTTTATCAATTTATCCTCTATTGGTACTCTTGTATTTTAAAGAATGCAAATATTTCTTTCTGTTTTCATTTGTATACAGCAGAAACTTTGTGTATGTTGTATTCTGGCTGCCCAACACTGTAACTCTTACATTATAACTCGACTTTTGCAGTTGTCATGTACAAGATTTATCATCTTGGGGGCACTTTTTATTTGTTCAAATGCATTCCTCCACTTATTTATACTGCTGCAGTCTATGAGCTATACATGTTTAATATCTAGATTTAAATTATAAAAAGCTTTTGCCTGTCTTGTAAGGATCCTCATCTTGCAAACTTTGCTTATTGGTTGGTGCCTCTCAGTTTTCATGGACACAGTTTGCAGAACAGTGTTTAATGAAGTAAAAACTTTGAACCTTTTGGTTTGCTATTTTGGTTCTTTTTCTAATGTTGGAATGGTTCAATAGGTGAGCCCATCTGGCTTGTACTAATCAGTTAACCTATATTAGATTTTACCTTAGGCTTTAGAGTGCCAATCATTCCTTGAAATCACTCGAAACAGTACATTTAATTTGACACTGCATCAAACAAAGACTTCTAATGCAAGGGAGTATAGGTTGGGTTCCACGGAGGCAGGGGATAAGAGTCATGTACCTTTTATTATTTATGAAAATTGATCGATACTAATCGTATTTGAATTTAAGTGTCGGTAAAGAGCTATAGTGCCAGCTCTGTGAAATGATTGGCAGATGAAAGTTTTTTGAGAAATGGGCATACATTAGGCAGTTATAAATAAAACTTGGATCTAGCTTGTGAACTTGGTTGATCTTTCATCTATATAACAGTTCTCTTTACCTCATTTTTCCACTCATTATGTCTAAGTTGTATTTCTTGGTTAATCAGCTAGAAGGGTGATTCTGTTTGTTTAGAACCTTTTGCATGGCAATGAACTGTTGTCTGATATAATTGCAGGAACTCCTTATACGCAACAATCCTATAAAGTTAGCGAATCATTTCCTTTTAAGTGGATCAATAAAAAGTGGAAAGAAGGGTTTCATGTTACATCCATGACCACTGCTGGCGGCCGCTGGGGGGTAGTCATGTCAAGGAACTCTGGCTATTCTGATCAGGTAAATCCATTCTTGTTTTTCCTTCTGTTGACAGGAGACTCCGTGCGAATGAACTTGATCTTTTCATAAAGTTCAAACCTTCTATTAGCAAATTATATATTTCATTCTTGGTCTATATTTTCATAAAAATATTGAATTAATCAGTAGAATATCCTGATTAATCTGACATTGGAAGTGTATTATATTATGGTGGTATATAAAGTTGGATAGAGTTACTACTCATAACTTAAAACTCACCTGATTTAGTATTTCCAAATTACAAAGCCAGTGGGCCTATGAAGTTGGATTGTAACAATAATGTAACTGAATGAATAAACTGATATCTGATTATGTAAATTATTGTGATTTTTTTTTTCGAATGTAGGTTGTAGAGTTAGATTTTCTTTATCCAAGTGAAGGGATCCACCGAAGATGGGAGAGTGGTTACAGAATAACTTCGACTGCAGCTACTCCTGATCAAGCTGCTTTTATTTTGAGCATACCAAAAAGAAAATTGATGGATGAGACACAGGAAACTCTTCGAACTTCTGCATTCCCTAGCAACCATGTAAAGGTAATCTTATCATGATTAACTTGCTACCTAGAATTTTAGATCTTACTCTGGTCATAGGAACCCTGTTTGCTTTCCAGATAATCTAGTCTTGATCAGTGTATGATCATAGAACACTTGGTTGTGTTTTGCTTTTTGTCTATATTGTGCTGAATGATACTTTCTTCCTGCTAAAATGGTTGAGTCTAGGGCTTGCACTTTTCTGCTAAGAAAGTACCTTTTCATCTATGCTCTTTGTCTCATGAATTCATCGTGCTATGCATTCTTTTCTAGGTCACCGTATGCCTACTTTGCTTGGTACTGCAATCTATATAACTTTATAGTGAGCCATTATTTGTTTATTTCATTCAATATTAGTCATCGATGTCAAAGATGGCTTGCAATCATCATGGAGCTGGGTCCCCGTTAGAGTTGTCACTGAATTAAATCTCCTTCATAGGTCACCTCTCAAACTGGTACAAGCCCATAAAAGTACAGTGAACTACATTTTTATGACCCAAAAGTAAAAAAATTTGAGTGTGGGTATTATGGTAAGGTATATAGCTTCAGTACTGTGGATAAGTTTGGGTATCAAAAAGCAAACATTCTGAGCCAACCTAATCAAGTTAAGCCTTTTTACAGGAAAAATGGGCGAAGAATCTTTACATCGCCTCGATCTGCTATGGTCGGACAGTGTGCTGATACTTGCACTGACTACATATCTGGGAGGGAGCCAAATCGTCCAAGACATTCAAATCGTGGATATGCATCATATAATGAAGTCTGGTTGCAGTTTTCCTTCCCATGAGTTGTACGCCCGATGAAACAGGGCCTTATCTGGGTAAATCCAGACCCTGTAAGATATTGTGTACTGATCACAAGATCCATATACCCTACACGTTTTGCTGCACTATCTTTTTTTGGCAATTCATAGCAAAGATCTGGCTCAGTGTTTGTACTTCTTTTTCTCATGCACATGAGAAGTTGTAGCAGAAGAAGAGAAGCTATTTTGTTCTCAGCTTTCAAGAAAAAGATGGCGTGAGAAAATGCTTGATAAGTAGGGACATGTCAAAGTTATTTTGGACATGAATCAGAACAAAATAAAAGAAACGGAAGCTGTATGAAGTGATTTGTTATATGGCCAACGGAGACGCAGCATAAAAAAATGATTGCTTCTTTTCGCTGCATAAGATTTGATCATTTTAATCAGATATATCCAAATTGGATATGAACTCCATTAATCATTTTGATATTTCCAATCGGTTATCTATTTTTTTATCTGTATTTTCGAAGCCACATATCCAAATTCAACTTAATTGAATCAAATAAATCCAAATATTCAAAAAATCGGATACATAAATATGCTATTCATGCATTTCACTTTCTTCGATGAACCTAATTAACTCACCTAAATAACCTTATATCCAATATATATACGCACCCATTGCGGGCAACCTTGTCCTCGTCCCGAAATTTCGGCTAATCTGCGCCGTCCAATTCAAAATAGACGGCTCCTGCGCACTTTTCGCTTGCCCCTATCGACACTGCTTCGCCATAAAGCCGCCGCGCCTCCCCCTACTTCGTTGACCTCTTTCGATTCCAACCTCGATTCCCTCGACGTGAAAAGGAGAAGCTTGCAGGTAACTACCACTACTCCTACTACTAGTTTATAAAGATAAGTCGTTCGGGATTTCTTTCTTCTTGCCTTCTACATGTATGACAAAATGCCTTTAGTTCGGAATTCATTTCCAGTGTGATTTCAGAGTTGGTGCTTATCAATTGTTTGATGGAATGACTGAGAGAAGCTTGGTCATAATACTTGTCCTTTACTTGTTCAAGTAACAACTGGTGTCTTCTCGATTCAGAATTCTTTACTATATTCACACTAATGCGAGAAACGAAAAGATACAAGTAGGAAATGGTGCTGCATGCCTTTCTGCGATAAGGGATATTGTCACGTTCTGTTTAGTTTCTCTGCAGCTCAGATATGAAGGTGGGCTTATTGAGATGGGGAGTCCTTAAGCATCTGAAGGAAGGTTTAGGGCAACCGAGGTTTCCACTAGGTAATCTGATTCTAGTAAAAGTATGTTTTGCAATTTTCATTTCTGTGTTTCAATGCCTATCGATGAAAGTTACTATTCGTTGCAATTTTGTTCCCTAGCTTACGAAACTTAGTAGCGATTATGCTCTAGTTGGAAGTGCATTGTTCAAGCACCTGAAGAAGAAATTATAACAAGAATCCTCACATACATATTTTGTGTTTGGGAAGCAGTCTTGAACTTTTTATACTTACAGGCCTCTATAGAGGTTCCCAGGCATGTTTTTCAACCATATCATCTGATGAGAATGAGGAGAAGATTGGAATTGAGGATGATGAATTTATCGAAGACAAGAAAGAGTTGGAACCACAAGGTGTAGACCCCATGAGGGGCTGGGGCTTCAGAGGTGTGCATAAGGTATCATTGGCAACTTTAGAATTTTGCTACATTTTTATCACATGTAAAATGCGATTTTTTTAATTTTAATTCTTCTTAACATCTATGTTTCTCCATATAGGCAATTATTTGTGGAAAAATTGGTCAAGCTCCTGTACAAAAGATACTAAGGAATGGCAAGACAGTGACCATATTTACGGTTGGAACAGGTGGTATGTTTGACCAAAGAATCACTGGTGCTGAGCATTTGCCAAGACCAGCTCAGTGGCACCGAATTGCTGTTCATAATGACCAGCTTGGGGCATATGCTGTTCAACAGTTGGTGAAGAAGTATGCAATTTTTTCACACTAAGCAAATCAATTTTTCTGTGATTCTATTTTCTTGTGGAAGTTCTTAAACATGAACATGATTTCATGCTTCCCAATCAGTATTATAGTTGTTAACCTTTGGTATTCATGAGTTGTATCTATATTTGCTACTTTGTTTCAGCTCTGCTGTTTTTGTTGAGGGTGATATTGAGACCAGAGTCTACAATGACAACATCACTGGCCAAGTGAAAAATATACCTGAAATCTGTGTGCGCCGTGATGGTACGTTAATCATCCTTTTATGTACTGTTGTTTAATTTGCTTGTTCCATTGATGCACCTATTTCATTTTTCTTTTAACTTGAGTCTGTCAGAAAGTGAACTTAATAAACAATTGTTTGAGCTTGGATTATTTCATAAAAATAAATTGGACTCAGCAGGGATTTCTCTGAGATAGAATATCAGATGAATTTCAAAATTCACATGCGGTCATAATCCATCTGGTTATGTAGTATCTTGTATGCTGTAATATCAGTATCATTTTATATGACAAATATAATAAGTTTAGATTTTCAGGTCATGATAATGATATCAGTATGATTTCTGATGGAATAACATAGATTTTATTTATGTCAAGGTAAGGTTGCTTTCTGTAACTTATATGACCAATGTTCAAGTCATGGTAACAACTTGTCCCTTGCGGAGGTAATGTTCTGTCCATTGACCCTCCCCAAAAGTCCAAAACTTATGCTTTTTGGGATCCTCATGCACTAGGCTGCCTTTTTTGAGGGATTGTATTTTTTTCCTTGATTTGCAATTTTTTTTCCTTGAATTGTGAGTTTGAGGATAATTCGTACAGTTCTCTAAATGTTAGTTTTTCATATATTCTTGTGCTGATCAATATGTTTCACGGTGGTTCATCTTAATAACCAATATCAGTCATGCATTTTGGTTGCAGGAAAGGTTTGCTTGATTAAGTCGGGGGATAGCACTGCTAAAATATCTTTGGAAGGACTGCGTAAGTATTTCTGTGCCTTGTTTTTGATTGGAATAGTCTGCCTTTGGCCTCTTTCTAAATTGACATTTCATGACATAGTAGCTAATTTTAGTAGCTAAGTAAAACATGTAATGGCTGAGTACATTATGTGGATATATCTGTGTGAACACATCTGATTATATTGTTAATATTTGTCATTTTCCTTACAAAACAATGCCTCAGATGTTCTCAAGATTTTGAGGGCTGACAAGGCCACTACTACTTTAATGAAAATGTCTCATTCAGTCTCAATGTAGAATGCATTAACTAGAAATTTTAGGAAGACTAGGCACGAAGAGAAGTATTGGTTTTCAAGTAAAGCATCCTCACAATTTAGAAGTCGATCTAAAAATGTGCTTAATGATCATCGTAACTAGAGAGAGGTTCTTAAATCAATGTTCTTTTCCTACCACCAACTAAATATTCACTAATTGTTGCCAATTTCATCTTTGGTTGCAGGGGATGGATTGTTTTGAGCGTGTTACTTGAGATGCGTTTTACCTGCTCGTAGCTTCAGACCAAGTGTGTTGCAGTCATACACTTGTAGTGATCGCCAAACTTTGCAAGTTCTAACTTTGTTATTTTCTTTATTGCTAAGAAGGATTGTCCAAGGTATGTTCTTGAGCATGTCTATTCACTAAAATGATGTAGAACTTTTTAGTGTGGTTTTGATATCTTTGATTTTAGAAGTCTTCTTCAAGCAGCCTTTTCTCAATTATTTATTTTACACCTTGAAGTTTATGTTGGTAACAAGAGTCTTCCATTTGATTACGAAGAAAAAGAGGTTTTATTTTGTCTCAATGTGTAGTAAATCTTAAAACATTGTGAGAACGACAAAATCCTTTTTCAACCTAACATATAGACATCAACATAATACAAAATGATAATATTTGTTACACTTCAACAGTTGTCTCAATAGATAATATTCTTTCGGTCGTCTCCAATTCAAAAAATATTTTTAATTATAAATTGCCAGGATTTTGACTATCAATATTTTCTCTTTTTCTTCTATCTAAACTCTATCACTTTGACTTCACGTCAGGAGATCGAAAGCATCGCTTCGGGGATATATATATATATATATATATATATATATATATATATATATATATATATATAAAAGCAGAATCCACAAGAAACAGAAACTAGTCGGCGATGATGCTGCGGACTCCGCCGGCAGCCGACCTCCTCCTCAGCATCTGCCTCATGCCATCAGCCACCCTGATCGCAGGGCTCGTCTTCATCTTGCTGCAGAAGGACATGTGAGCCTGATTGCCCTCCTCCACCACGCCATTACTGCTTACCTCCTCCTCACCGCTTCGCAGCAGAGCCCGCGCAGAGCCATTCGCCGTCAAAGCTCGCCTTCACGCTGCTTATGTAGTCCTCGGAGCAGTCCTCTCGTAGCCCACAGCACGCTCACTTCACTGATTCGAACCTCCATTCCTTCTATTGCTATCCTCTGCACCAGTGACGTGTGAGGTGGTGCTGTGAGTGGTGGGCTTGGAAGGGAAGGACGAGCTTTTATGGATGGAGGAACAGTGTGCTCCTCCATGTTCTGCGGTGGGACATGAGACAAGGTTTGGTTGGCCTTTTCCTTGCATCAAATTGAAATAGGGGATGAGTTTTCTTGCAATTTTTTGATCTTGAAGGTGCTGTTTTGCTTAGGTGGTAAAGTTTTTGACAATTTATCGTAAGACCGTGTACTCAGAATTTCACTTTCGAATCTTACCCTTTGCAATAATAATGATAATAATAATAATAATAATAACAAAAAAACAAACAATGGAGAGGTTGGGAAGTATCATATGTTATTCACAGCAATCTGCAAGTATATTACTCTATTCTGGCTCTTCTTTAAAGAAGAAACTCCTATTAAGTATGCAATTTTTTTACATTCTGCATGAAGTTTGAACCATATTTGCCACATCTTCTACTAGAAATCAAGACAAAAATTTATCAGATAGAAACTAGAGAAAGAAAACATATAAGTTAACCTTATGAGCTAAAACAGCATTGTCACCAAGTTAACCCCATATGCTTTATTTGTGTATTCATCTCCAAACACATCCCTTCTTTGTGTCTGTTTTCATGGTGGTCTTGTTTCATAGCATGCCTTTTTAAGGAACAACAGTGTGCCATTAGGAGAACCTTCCTCATTATCATATCATGCTTGCCTCCTCTTTGGAGAGTCATGAC